CATTTAAATATCTGAGAAGTGTTTTAACAGAGGCAAGTGGACACTGAAATCAGAAGGCACATTGTGATAGCGAAAGATGCCTTCCAAAAGCTATTAAGAAACAGGAAAATTTCGTTAGAAGCAAAGAAAAGAGTATTGAACTGTTACTTAATATCAGATCTCCTACATGGAAAATCTCCTCGCATGTGAAGGAGAGACTTGAAGTAACAGAAATATGGTTATTTGTTTGAAACTTTAAAATAATAATTGTTTTTGTCTCTCCCTTCTTAAGTTACGGTTTTGTTTAGTTTGCACGACTGTTACGCTCTGCCAATACGTAAAAATAATGGACTATTCCGTTTTGATCGTGTGAAAAAACGAAACTGACATATCAGAGACGTTACTTGGTTCCAGTGAGAAAATAAAAGAAGGAAGGAAGGAAGGAAGGAAGGAAGGAAGGAAGGAAGGAAGGAAGTGTTTTAATGTCTGTTTTAGTGAAATGGAGAATGTTGTCAGTTTCAAATCTTTTCATTTGTACATCATTACAGTTTGTTTCGGCTGGTTCAAATAATCTTCCCTCTGTAAATTTGTGCTAAATTGTCCGGGCTATCATAGATATTTGTTTTATTTTTTTTTTAATGTTTTATTCTTTAAGTGCATAATCCATATACAAAGAATAATATGTACGTTGTTTACTGATTTCAGTTTGTATTTGGTCTTTAAATGGAATGGATCAATAATCACTAATACTGGCTACCATTCTCTTATGATTGCTCACGATCTTTCAGTTTTAAAGTACTGGTGGACACTGAAAAAAAAAAATAAATAGAAACCACTCTCTTCCTCCGGATTGTACAGGTGAAGAAGGTCGAAGAATGAATCGGCCGAAACGTTGTGATATTAGCAAAAAAAAAAAATGAGTTCAAGTGTCCGAATAACACTTTGAGGGATTTGTTTCTCTCTCTCTCTCTCTCTTTCTTTCTTTCTTTCTTTCTTTCTTTCTTTCTTTCTCTCTCTCTCTCTCTCTACTATATATATATATATATATATATATATATGTATGTATGTATGTATGTATGTATGTATAGTAATACTCGTTTGGAAAAAAAACTCGGATAGCTCAACTTGTAGATATGTCAAAAGAAATCGCTACCCGAAGAAAAATTGGAAATAAAAAAGAAAGAACTAAAAACATCCGAACAGGGAGAAATAAATCGTCCAGTGCCTTAAGTCTTTAGTCCAAAGAAGAAAAAAAAGCAAGCAAGACTAAAACGTAGAGCGCTCAATACACTAAGTAGAACCAGCTTACTCTGAAGATCCGTTTATTTGAAACAATATATGTGTGTGTGTGTGCGCGCGTGTGTATCCAAATGTAAAAGTACGAAGAGTAAGATTTCAGCGTTCAAAATATTAATTTAAAACGGGGCTCAATACAAAAGTAGAGCCGTGAATATTTATTTATTATGCAGTGTTACATCAGAACATGCACATAGCCACTACAAAACTGTACATCTTGTTTCAACAGTATCGTGATTCCCCACCTAATGAAACGTTAAAAAAGATTTTTAACGTTGAAACAAGATGTACAGTTTTATAGTGGGCATGTGCATGTTCTAATGTAACACTGCATAATAAATAAATAAATAAATATATGTGTGTGTGTTACATAAAAGAACACACTGGATAGATTAAGAATGAATCTGATCATAGTTTCAACTTAAAGATTTCAGTTTAATTAAAAGAGAATATACGGCGAACATGTGTAGAAAGTGTCTGAGTCTTCCACGGTATATTTACTCCCAAGCATGCAGTAAATCCCTTTTCATGACAAACCCGCTTTTATATGAAAGTGGCATATTTTAAAACAATTGCATTAATAAAAACAAAAGCAAAAATGCTAGGAAGCTGAATGAGGCCGGTTCAATTGTACAACTAGACGCATCGGATGCCAAAAATGTAAAATTTGAATTTCAGCGTTCCTGCATCTTCAGTCGTCCTGGGTATCATGATAAACGACATTCGAGAGCAAGAGCTCTGATCGCTAGATTGGAGGTTTTGAGGAGCGTGGAACCACCTTTCTTGTTGTTCTCAGGTCGATCCTGACCCAGGGTGTTAGCACCTCTTAGGGTCCCAGATATGGGCAAATAGTAAATCACTAATCAAAAATCAACAGTACATTTTTTTTAATAAAATGACCAACTATATATTTTTGTAGAAAAATGACAACAAATGCAACACTAATATATATATATATATATATATATATATATATATATATATATATATATATATATATATCTTAAAATTACCGACAATACATTTTATGATCTACAAACTATATATCTAAAACATACGTTTACCCTGAAAATATAAAATGATGTACAAAATATCTGTAGTTGAAAGCATAAAGTTAAGTAGAAAATATTTAGATTTCGGCATTAAATAACCCTGAGAGGTTGATATGCTGCTAAACAAAATCAACCAATCAACAATAACTATTTCTAGTAAAAAGTAAAATTACGAACAAATCATATTTAAAGCAAAATGACAAACAATTTGTTTTTATCTTGTATTGTATGCATTTATGATGAAGGCATACAACTGCGTTCAAAATATATTTAGTTGAAGCCATACAATTGTGTTCAAAATATTTCAATTACGGCATTAAATAATCCATAGAGGTTGATATGTCGCTAAACAAAATCAACAAATTAGTTAGTGTTTCTCTTGATGTAGAAATATAATCGATGTTTGTTGTATTTCATTTCCTTACTTACATATGTTTCCATCAAGAAAAACTCTTATTTAGCTTCAAGAATTTTTATCGAAGGAAGAAACGCGTAAGAATATTTTACATTTTGTCATTCAGTTTTGTCTGATATATAAACTTTACATATCTTATTCTCCCATATATATATATATATATATATATATATATATATATATATATATATATATGTGTGTGTGTGTGTGTGTGTGTGTGTGTGTGTGTGTGTGTGTGTGTGTGTGTGCTTATTCCTACCTACTACATATGGAGCAGCAAACTTATTGATTTTTCAGTAGCAAGTGAATTTTGGTGTGATCGGATTCTTAACACGATGCATATATATATATATATATATATATATATATATGTGTGTGTGTGTGTGTGTGTGTGTGTGTGTGTGTGTGTGTGCATCGTGTTAGGAATGACCTAGAGTCGCAACAAACTAAAATATATAATTTTTAAAGGTATCTAGCCAGTTATATATTTTTTAAGAACTAGAGTGTGTATCTGTCACGAGTGTGTGTTTGCATATGTGTATGCGTTAGTGTGTTTATGTATATCTCTGTGTGTGAATTTTACGTGCATGATCAGTACCGCTGACTGATATCATATTTCCTCAACACTACTCCAGTCATACTCACCCTAAACCTCCATTCAACGAGTTAAGGCTTTCTTAAATTTTTCGCCGACTTTAGGTGGGCTAAATTTAATTTGCCCTTTTTCAATTGATAGTGTGCTAAAAACTTATTCTGTACGGAATATAATATTTAAGATGGACTTTTGAAAAGAATAAGTTGAAATAAAAATGTGTTATTTCAAAAACACGACATACAAGTCATTAAAGATTTTTAAAAGATTATTTATAAAATTAAACTAAGAAATACATTGCGTATTAAATGTCTCCAGCTCAGATAGGGCCCAGCTCTACGTAACCCGATCAGACGTTAATTATATTTCATTCTTATTTTACTTTCTTCTTTCTTTCTCCTTTATTATGAACAATATCAACGAAATGTATTTCGGTCAATATTTTAAGGCATAGAGTTAAAACAATTAATTTTGGATCCAGCTGAAGTCAAGAAGGAAAACGACACACTATGAAAGATTTTTGTTGCTTTGAAATAGATATACTTGAATGTTGACTCACTCGGGCTACGGTCGACCGCCGGAGTCGCCATTGATATATATATATATATATATATATATATATATATATATATTCTTTATTATATCTCTCGAATGCGAAGGCCAGTAGACGTAATAAAATATGGTGGTTTACCGATATAATTATTGTATTGTCATGAATAGTTGAATTGACTTGTAAACGAGATGTTTAATAAGTAGATGACTTATTGCCTAAAAATTAAGCAAGACGACTACTACGTATATATGTCAAGTTAGATAAAATTTATACAGAAAGGTTTCTTGTAACCACGACTATCTTCGTAATTGCCATGATCATCATTTTACTTACCCCCCCACCATCCCCTCAGCATGTTTGTCACATTTTCTGTTCCTTTCTCATCTTTATGTTAACGCCCATAATACCAACAGTAGAAATATAGAAAAATTCACTCTCTAGATTCTGTTAATTTTTTCACCATCGTAAAGAGTGATTTGCAAGATCCCTAAAGCCATTCGATTAAAAAAAAAATCAAACAATTGAATCATTATCTAAGCCTTTAAAAACAGCGTTCTACTATAAGATATTGTTAAATGTGAATTTGTCCATGGGTTTGGGAAGGGTGATAGCTAATTAGACGGCTTTCAAAATGGTGACATGAACAATACAAGTTAGTTGCGGCAATAATATATTTTTTGAATGTTTTTTTAATGGCATTTTATTGTCGATATATTATAAAATGTTTTTAGAGGTACTAGAAGATCTTTCTAGAAGTGTGAAAAGTTTCAAACGAATTCAATGTTGGCGGCAGTGGTGGTGGTGGTTTGGTGGAAGGATTTTATAATGCAACTGAAACATTGTAATTGTCACCATCAACCACATTAAAATCATCGTCGTCATCAAAAGTAGCCAAATGCCTACTATCATCACTATCACCTAGGATATGATCATTGAAATCATAACAACCGCGATCATCATCATCATTATCATTAGTAGTGTCGTAAAAGTGCTCTCTGACTCTTTTTTTCTATCTGCTGTATTCTTCTTCATTTTCTTTCGTTCGTTTTATTCTGGTTAGACGATAACCTCAAGTTTCGTCTATCTTCCTCTACTTCACATGTCCTTGAATTA